ATGTTCAGAGACATCCATAAACCAAGCATGCAGGACACGGGATTGCTCAATTCCCCTTTCATGGTAGCATTTAGGTGAATATTGGATCATCGGTTTTTCCCACGGTGTCTCGGAGAGGGAGTTTGGGGGTAGGGCAGGGTCTCGGGTTTGGTCCGAAGTGTCTCCAGGTAAAAGCAGGCATTGTGGTGGGGCTGGGGAGGCCCCCTCGGAGGTCTTGGAGAGCCATGGCCAGCTTCACTCAAGTACTCTGACCTGGATGGCCCACAGGTCTGATTCCACAGGAGGCAGCTTCGGAGATGTTCAGTCATAGAGACATTTGCAAATCGGATCTTCTGATAATATTCTGAAAAAGATAAGAAACGGACTCTTTGTTTTTGCGGGGCTGCATGGGGTGCGGACAAATTGTACTTCTGAAATGTTCCCCTCACTTTGCTTGTTTTTATTTAACCTAAAGAGTGAAGAATGACGTCTCGGCCAACATTGCCCCTTCCCTCCAGTATCAAGAGAGAGTTTTCTGTGGACCCAAGCCAGGTAAGAGATCTCCAGAATCTGATGGCAAAAAGGAGAGGTGGAAGTGGGGAAAAGTAAAATGAGAGCAAAGCTGGAGAAACCATGATCTTTCTTTTGATCTCTCTTTTTGCCTCAGGAGAAGAGCGCTGCTGACGAATCATTGCTACGAACCTTGTGTGCATTGAATTGTGTAATGAAAGACTGCTCTTGGTTGTGGTCGTGACCAGGACCACAACTAAGTGCAGCATGACAGTGCAGAAGTGCTTGCCTTCCAAAGCCACAGACTGGTCTGCCCAAGGAACTGGGTGGAGATCCCAGTGTCCTTCACACTGTAGTGATATGGGATTCCTGGAAAAATTTGACATGGAAACTTTTTGGGAAAAGGTTTCCATGCAAATTCAGCACATTTACTTTGGAAAATTTTCCGATGTGCTTAATAGAGTGAGCTACTTTAGCATGCTTGTTTTTCTGCATTTCATAAACAACAAAGCTGAAAAATTTACCTCATGTTAACTTTGTCTTCCAATGTATAAAATACATTTCACCTTCAATATTTTAGGGAAAAATTACCCCCCTTAATTTGATTTAAATATTGTGCTATGTAGAACATGACACTTATGGGTCCCCAAATCTTTAAATGCCCTCTCCACAGGAAGGCACAATTCTTTGCATACTGAAATTGATCTTGTCCAAGAGAATGCACAGTTAGAACCATTCTGCCTAATATGCCAGAAGAGAGGAGCGTTCTAATATCCCGCTTTGTTGTAGTTAGTTGTGAAGTTGCGTCCGACCCATTGTGACCCCATGGACAACACTCCTCCAGGCCTTCCTGTCCTCCACCATCCCCCAGAGTCCACTCAAGCTCACACCAACAGCTTCAGGGACTCCAGCCACCTCCTCCTCTGCCGTCCCCTTCTCCTTTTGCCATCTATTGTTCCCAGCATTAGGCTCTTCTCCAGGGAGACCTTCCTTCTCATTAGGTGGCCAAAGTATTTGAGCTTCATCTTCAGTATCTGGCCTTCTAAAGAGCAGTCAGGGTTGACCTCCTCTAGGACTGACCGGTTTGATCGCCTTGCGGTCCAAGGGACTCGCAGGAGTCTCCTCCAGCACCACAATTCAAAGGCCTCAATTCTTCGGCGCTCAGCCTTCCTTATGGTCCAGCTTTCACAGCCTTACATTGCAACTGGGAAAAACATAGCCTTGACTATACGCACTTTTGTCGGCTGGGTGATGTCTCTGCGTTTTAGTACGCTGTCTAGATTTGCCATAGCTTTCCTCCCCAGGAGCAAGCATCTTTTAATTTCTTGACTGCAGTCCCTGTTTGCAGTGATCTTGGAGCCCAGGAGAATATCCCACTACTCACCTGAAATCTGAAGTGGAACATTTGAGAAGCAATTTTATCTCAGATGTTGGCTTTCATGCCAAGCGCCTAGGGAGGAACAGACTGATGAGGTGTCTCTAAATGGAGTTTTGTAAGGCCCCATCAAGAGTGGTCACTTTCTATTCGTTGTCTTATGACCAAGCAATTGAAAGCATTTTTAGGTTTTAGAGACTGAACTGAGGTCTCTTGGTTCTTACAGATGCCAGTGACCTTTGAGGATGTGGCTGTGTATTTCACGGAGGGCCAGGGGGCACTGCTGGATGAAGACCAAAGGGCCTTGTACCTGGAGGTCATGGTGGAGAATTATGGGAATGTTAGTACCTTATTTGGTAAGAGTTAGAACTCTTGCAGTACCTCTCTCTGAAATCATGACCTTGTTATGTTATGACCTTGTTCATTTCTTCTCGTCTTAACCCAACTGATCAAACTAAGTTCTCTGATATATGTACCTCAGCTCCCCTCTGCATTAGTGTTGTCCAGCAGGCTAGGCTCAGGGGAAGGTCTAATTCTAGATACTACAAACCCATAATTCATATTTTTGCACCTTCCACCTGTGAAGATGGGGGCAGCTCTTGCATCTAACAGTTTGCTCAGATTAATTTGGTCAGTTCTGAGGGTAAGGCAGAGGGTCAAAGGTGGACAGAGGACCCTGCAAGGTCAAGGTTACCTACTGAAGATCCTCAGCATGAGAACCGGCCCAGCTTGGAAAAAGAGAGAGGCCTTTCAGAACTAGGGGAGATTGAGGCAGGGGGCTCCTTGGCCCTGTCAGGAGGCAACAGGCAATTGAGAAGTGCCCAGTGTTCCTGCTGTCCAGCCTTTAAGCAGTAGGAGCCACCTGTCCCAGGTATATTTCTCCCATTCTGGCTCCGGTGCTGAGGCCATTAAGACCTGAGAAGTGCAAAAGCATGCAAAGTTCCTCCTGCATGCTTCTCCTGCTTCAAGGAAGGCCTCTAACCTGCATATTTGTTTCACAAATGCAGGGTGTGCAACAAAATAGACTTCCACCCTCAAATCAGGTCCTAAGGAGCAGTGGGCTTGCACGTACCTAGCAAGGTTTTCAGCCCTTTGTGGACCAGAGGCAGGATCGCTGAAGTCCTGGTCTTGGTCCCTGCCCCGCCTTCCCTTGGCAGGGCTTGTAAAAGGACTCCGAACAGATGAAACTTTTCCATCCCACTTAGGTCTGGGCATCATCTTATAAGTGTTCTGTCACAGGCTTTGTCCCTTGAGTGGAGCTTCATTAATCATCCCAGAATGATCAGATTTTGGGTGGTGCATCCACCCAAGAGTTTCTACATAAAAATACCATGCAACTAATTAAAAAGAGTTCATTTGATTTCTCTCTTTCGTTGGACTCCCTTCCTTCACTGTCATCCTGAAAGCAAGCAAATGTGTTCTCAGGGAGATGTTCTAAAGCTAAATCAAGTTTTGAAGTTTCCTAGAGAGGTTTTTCTTTTGGAGGTTTTAAAGGCCATAGAGTGTCTGATTATATTCCCTGTTCTTGTCTTTCCTGAGCAGGCTATCCAGCTGCCAAGCCTGAGCTCATCTCCCGGCTGGAACAAGGGGAAGAACCGTGGGTGCTGGGTTCTCCAGACCTGGCTGGAATGGAGAATTCCAACAGGGACTCAGGTGAGTCATCTACGTGAGCCACTGGAGTAACTTCACTTGCCCTTGTGCATTCTGCCTTCTTCCAAGCTTTCAGTTTTCTTCTGCCCATGTTTCTTCTTGATTAGAATACATTTGTTAGCATTTGTTCCCTTGTGAGAAACCAGTTACAAAGGTCTATGCCAGTAAGGGAGAGGCAAACAAAGTGGTGCTTGATCCGGACAAGGCGAACTCCTGCTTAGTCAAAAGGTGCTCGCAGGGAAAGGCGTTCAGCCTGTGAGGAATGGGGTTAAACCTGCAGTTTGGTACTCCTGGACATGCACTTACTTGTGGTGCTACCCAGGAGTGCATTCGCAAGCACGGGTACTGCTCCGATGCCTCTTCCTAGAGGTGCCTGATCTGCCACAGGCTTGCATACCTTCGTTTCCTCCTGGTTACCTGGGCCTGCTTTCAAAACTATTCACAAATTTCATCTGGTCCAGACTGTTGATTGCAGGAAGCTTTTCCAGCTTGGGACCAGCCCTAAAAAAATGCCACCTTCCATACAAGCCTGCCTGGGTTCTAAAATCTACCAGAGCAGCCTTTTTTTCCCAGACTGCCACCTTTAGAGGTGCATGTGCTGGAAATGCAAAAAAGAACCTTCTCAGTGGGACAACAAGCCATGGAATCTCTGCCAAGGGATTTGCTCCTTTTTTGTGGACCTCCTGCTGAAAGACAGGGACCTTTTTGTTCAAGCCAGCTTTCCGTGTGTACACAGTTTGTTGAGCTGGATGTTGTGCTGCTTCTGTGGTGTGTGTTTTGTGTTCAAATGTATTTGTTTTATCGATTTATATATGATTGTAAGGTGCTTCCAGTTCCATTTGTTCTTGGTGGGCAGGTGGGGTAACAATGCAAAATAATTTTCATTCTCACATAAAATCATTTGAAATCTCCCCCCTCCTTGCCTATTGTCCTCTATGAGCTCTAATTCTTCTTGATCTACTCAGTTACTCTCTCTCTTTCTGCCTTCTTTCTCTGTTACCCACTGCATCCTGACATCCACATCTCTCCCTTTCCTGCATACATTCACTTCATTGGAGACTGAAAGTCTCCTCCTATTCCCTTGACCCTTAATCTCTGGCTACCCACCAACAGTTCCATGCAGGTTTTGGGGCCAAAAAGTAATCTAAGGAGAGAGAGGAAGAACTTTAGTTTCAGTACTGGTATAGTCTGAGGGCTACATTCCTATGAATTACACCTTTATTGCTTGGAAATTCCCCTGCTGGGAGGCTTCTGGAATTCCTGTTCCCCTGCAGCCAGAAGCCAGCAGGCCAGGAGGAGCAATTGCAAAGGTCGTTGCCACCCTGTCCCCAGGTCTCCCTTTCACCAGCTTCTTGGGTTTCTTTCATTGCAGTGCCCCAAAGTAAACCTTGCTTCTGTTTGCCCTTTATCCCAGCAGGTGGAGACAGAAGAAATCAGCCAAGCAATGTGCGTGGGGCACAATTCATTCAGAGATCGAGTCTTTCCAAATATCAGCAAGTGCACACAGGAAAGAGGCCCCACAAATGCTTGGAGTGTGGGAAATGTTTTACTCAGAAATCAGTTCTTGTGACCCACCAGAGAGTCCACACAGGAGAGAAACCCTATGCGTGTGTCGTGTGTGGGAAATGTTTTGCTGATCCATCAGCCTTCTCAAAGCATCAGAGAGTCCACACAGGAGAAAAGCCCTATAAATGTTGGGAGTGTGGAAAATGTTGTGCTCTGAAGTCCCAGCTCATGGCCCATCATAGAGTTCACACAGGTGAGAAGCCCTACAAATGCCTGGAGTGTGGGATGTGCTTTGCTCAGAAACCAAAACTCATGATTCACCAGAGAGTCCACACAGGGGAGAAACCCTATAAATGCTCCGAGTGTGAGCAGCGTTTTGCTGATCCATCAGCCTTTGCAAAACACCGGCGAGTCCACACAGGAGAGAAACCACATCAGTGCTTGGAGTGTGGGAAGCGTTTTGCTTGGAGATCACATCTTATGGCTCACCAGAGAGTCCACACAGGAGAGAAGCCACATAAATGCTCAGAGTGTGGGAAATGTTTTTTTGTTAAATCAGATCTTATGAGCCATCAGAGGACCCACACAGGAGAGAAACCACACAAGTGCTTGGAGTGTGGGAAATGCTTTACACGGAAAGCACATGTTAGGACCCACCAAAGAATCCACACAGATGATAAACCAGAGGTCAAACGTTTCACCCCTGCTCCCCAGATCCAGCCCTGTGAGGCTCCCCACTTGGCTGTCCCCCTTCCCTTGGCTTCACCTCCCTTGTTCCAACCACTGATGGTTTGGTGGCTCCCTGACTTGTCTACAGTTTTCTCCCCATTGTAGAAAGGTTGAGTTTCCTCTTCCAAGGCTGAGTTACTGCCCGCAGGAGCTTTAAGCTACAACATGCTGATTACTTCTGTTCTCACTTGTTTTGACTTTGACCAGCCTGCCACTGGAAATTTGCCCCTGAGAGCTGGTCTGAAATTAAATTTGACCCTTGGCCTCAAAGAGGCTCCTAGCCCCAACCTAGATCCCAAGCCACAGTAGACACATGATGGGATCAGAAGTGTGGCGTGCACATACCAAGATAGTCCTGGGGTCTGAGAGCATTTGTGCTCCATTTTATGTATATGAAATGTTATGTATATGAAATATACTTATTTTTTTAAGAAAATTAAAATACTGATTTGCAGTAACTCATCCTGTTCTTTTAATTTTGCTAAATTCTTCTATTATTTACTTCATTTCTATACCACCCATAGCCGAAGCTCTCAATGAGCCCAAATGTACGTATGGTATGAGTGGGAACTGATAAACTTTCGTGTTTCTCATTGTTTCTTTTTAGAAGTGTTTTTACACTCCCACTGCTATTTGTGAATAATGTTGACATTTTCAGAGTTCTAGAGAATCCAATTTTGAAAATAGAGTGACAGACACTGATGCAGAGGAGTTGTGCTAACAATGGAGCTTAGATTTTAGATTAGTTACTACTTTCAGATGAAGAATTCCTATCATTTTCAGAATTGCAGATTCGGTATTTTTTACCTTCTATTTCTAGATAGGCGTGTGCTCAAGTTCAGCATCTGCTGGAGTCTCCTACTAGATTCAGACAACACAATAATCCACGCTCAATATCTGAGTATGAGTTGGATGTGGGTTCTCACAGAATTATGGGTCGTTGTCATGTTGTCTGAATCCAACTAAGATAATAAACCATGGCTTGTTAACCATGAACAAACTTTGTGAAGAACCCATGGCTTGTTTTTGGATTGTTCGCCATGGCTTGTTATCTCAGCTGGGTTCAGTCAATATGATAACAAGCATTTTAACAACAACACAGAGTTTAATGGTAATCCACAATGAACCCCATACACAACTCTTGGGTGTGGGTTACGTTATCTGAACCTGGGACTGTAATCTATTGTGTTTTGCCTGCAAAGCAGAATTTAGAAATAGATTGTGCAGCAGGCCATTTCCCACCCTGCATTAATCTTGTCCTTCACTGCCAGAATGGCCATTGGCAAAAGGACTTCTGCAGGGCTACAAAGGTCCATGTAATCACTGCCTTTTATCCCAACAGCACAAGGCCTCAGGCTGGGCTAAACAGGCGGTGCATTCTAGCTTCAAAATTGCAGGTTAGTGTTAGGCTGAAAGTGAGAGAAAACAGTTCTGTTTTTCCATAATGGACAACAAGCTAGAAAAGTAGCATACAACAACCCTGCAGTGTTCTCAATATATTACTGGAGCAGAGGAGAATAAACCTGATTCATCAATGCTAGGTTATCAAGAGTGCCATGCTCTATATTGGCTAAATACAACCATGCAGAACAATGGTGGGTCATCCAAGTCTCTGCAGTTTCTTAGCTTTGTCATGGCGTATACAAATAATTAGTGGTATAAATCATAACAAAAATGTGAGCTTTTGAAAAACAACTAGCCCATTTGGATGCTATCCATAAAGAGCATCTCGTTTTAAATGCTAAAACAAAAGGCTCAATCTGGAAAATAAACTCTTGCTCCAAGTAAACCTGGGATAGAAAGAACTCTTCTTTAATGGATATTTGCCGGGGGGAGGGGGTGATGAGCTAATGATGCTCGTTGCTCCTTTACATTTGCCATGAAACACATTATCTCCGTAGACTGTTCTTGTTGATGTTAAATATTTATATTCTGTTGAAGCTGGAAACCAGTGCAGTGGCTTGGACCAGGCGCTTTATATTTTGTGTCAATGGAATAATGTTATGACCAGCTAGAAGTCACCAAAGACCTGCTAAAGAATGGCCAGATGGCTTTTGCCTTCTATAGACAAAGTCTTGCTTTGGGGCTTCTGATACGTACCTGGCTGGCTACTGCAGACGAAACAGCATGCAGAACTATGTAGACCTTCGGCCTTATCCGGCACTACTCTTCTGTTCTAACTCTGGACATTGGCTTTAACGATGCATGCAAATATTCTGGGCTCTCCCATGAATGCCTAAATATATCTTGAGCCATGCATCCTATTCCATTACTACAAAGATGGGGGATACTTCCGAAGGAGCTTTCCTAAGCTTCTTGAAATAAAAAATCCCACCCTCTGGCATGACTTCCACTCTGCTATACAACAAGCGCCCCCAATCATGTGCTTATGAATTTTACTAAAAACCTCACTTGCTTACCCTGGCTTTTCCCAACCATTAACTTGTCTACCTCATTGTGATTTGCCAATGTATTGTTTTAAAATTTCCTGTAATCACTTTGAGATTGTTAAAATGGGAAGTGGTATACAAATATTTTAAAGTAGATGCCAACCTCAACAGTCACAGGGAGGCAACTTCCTTCTTCCTTCCAAAGCCCTTGTTCTCATCTCTCTTCTAAGGCATGTTCAGAGATCTATTGCATTGACAGAGTTTCTTTCTCAGTTGGAGCAGCACCGTCTTGGGTTGGTACAAGACCTTCTTAACAGAGAATGGAGGACCACAGACATTGGATTCTCTCCCTAGGCCCATTCTAGCTGAAGCGAAGTGGATGAGACTTCTCACCAAGGTGCAGGTTATCCCCTTCTCCTTGGAGTTGCCTGGCACATGATTCCTCTCGTGCTTTCCCACAATGGCCCCATGAAATAGTCATCCATCAGTATTTTAGAAGGCTGCTTCCTCCACTGCCTGGTGCAGCAACAGAAGATACCATTTTTACTGGGGAGGGGGGATTCACAGAACCCACGTTCCTCCCTGCCTCCATGCACCAACTCCACATTCCCAAGCTCTGCTGGTTGGACTCATGTTGGAAGCAGCTCCACACATGTAAAGCATGTGGTTACAGGAGCATGTAGCACACATGTAAAACATGGCTGTTCCAGGTAAGTAGATACACTTGCAGACAAATCTGGTCTGCCTCAGAAAATTGCCATTTGGATAGTGTAATGTTGTCATGTAAACCCCACTTAGGTAGTAAGCATTATTCCGCAAGATCTACTTCTGCTTTGGAGGTGTTGCTGTGCTGCTATTTATGTTGAAGATAATGTTGAAATACAGAGTGTTGTAATGACACACAGAAACGAATTTATTTTGAGTGCATTTTTATACTGCTAACAAGAGGCCCCAAAACAGCTAACGTAAAAGAACCAAAACCAAACAAAATATTATTAGAAAAAAATGAAACTAATGCCTTTAAATCAAATGGAGCAGAATTACAATCTTCCCTCATATTCTTTAAAATCAAAAAAGATAATGCAGAATATTTTCACTGCCTGCCTAAAACTCACCTGAGATGCAGCTGGTCTCACCTCCTATAGGGGAGAATTGTACAGCTAAGGTGCAGCCACAGAAAAGGCCCTGTCTCAGGTTTTTACTAATGATGATAGGATATATAACAGTTCCACCAAAGGACTTTTCTAATATTGGCTGTATCCAAACATCTCCTGCTCAAGTGGAGAAAGAGCTCTGCTTTTGCAATGCAGTCTTCCACATTCTGGCAATTCTCCAGTACCACTGCAGCCCCATTCATTTCAGAGAATTCCACAGTGCTAGGGGGAAGGTTTTGAACCCTAAGGCAGGGAGTAGGAGCAAGGAAAGCTTTCCTCACATGCCTTTCTCAGCCATGCCGCAAGCAACCAGAAGGATCGCCATTTACAGACATTCCGTCTCATCCTGGCTGCTCCCCTTTGAGACGAAGCCTTCCTTTCCTCACATGGACCGTACTCGTATGGTCATCTTTTCCTGACTGATGTTTCCATGATCTCATAAAGCTCCATTGTTCCATAGTGCTTGTCTGCTGAAACACAAGTGGAGATCAGAAAAAGAATTAGCAGTTGTGCTAATGTCCGCATTACACCAAATGAGGATTAGAACTCTGGATTGGCTGCTTCTGACTCAAGTGGGGAGTAAATAGGATCACGCAGAAGGCTTTCCCCATGTAAAAATCTTTCCAGGTATCATGAACTAGCCTGTCAAGAGGGATTGTCTGAATTCTCAGTCTCTTCATAATGCTAGTTCTCTACTTGCAAGGTATGTGGCATTTTGGTTGGCTGGTTGGTTTGCTTAATTGTGCAAACGGGTGTGGGTTGGAGATACAGCTTTGAAAATGCAAAAATTGTTGATAGCTGGGAGAGCTCTAATCAAATCTTTCTGCAAATAAACAATAGTGAAACAGATCACAAATTCCCAGGCTTATTTCCTGATTGTACATTAGGGGTCACTGGAGAAATGAATGGAAAAGGTAAGGGAAGCAAATGCATTTGTCCTTGCACAACGAGAAAGTGCAGCGATTTTGGAAAATTCAGCAGTTCCCTTGGTTCAAAGCTGCGCAATAAATAGTAAACACTTTTTTTAAAAAAATGTCTCTAATTAAGAGAAAAAAGGAATCTCTCACCTGAAAATTCTTCCATGTCCAAATATGTTTCATCTACTACTGGATGGAGGAAGGCTTGGTATAGTCAAAAGATTTCTCATCCACATGAGCTTCCTGGTGTTTGAGAAGAGCCAGTTTCAGAGGGAAACACTTTGCACATTCCAAACACTTATAAGGCTTTTCTCCTTTGTGGATTCTCTGGTGGCTGATAAGTACTGATTTTTGAGAAAAACACTTCTCACACTCCAAGCATTTATATGGCTTCTCCCCTGTGTGAATTCTCTGATGGGTCATGAGATTTGATTTTAAAGAAAAGCACTTTGCACATTCCAAGCATTTATATGGTTTCTCCCCCATGTGGGTTCTCTGATGCCTTATAAGGCATATATGTTGAACAAAACATTTATCACATTTCAAACATTTGTAGGACTTCTCACCCCTGTGCAGTCTTTGGTGCTTGGCAAAGGTTGATGGAGCACCAAAACATTTCCCACACTCCAAGCATTTATATGGCTTCTCCCCTGTGTGGACTCTCTGATGCCTCATGAGTTGTGATTTTTGTGCAAGACACTTCCCACACTCCAAGCATCTATAGGGTTTCTCCCCTGTGTGGATTCTCTGGTGTCCTGTAAAGGCCGATGGATCGGCAAAACACTTCCCACATTCCAAACATTTATAGGGTTTTTCCCCTGTGTGTACTCTTCGGTGCTTTGTAAATGCTGAAGGACTAGCAAAACACTTCCCACACTCCAAACACTTATACGGTTTCTCCCCTGTGTGAACTCTATAGTGGACAGTGAGTTGTGATTTCCGAGTGAAACATTTCCAGCACTCAGTGCATTTAAAGGGTTTCTCTCCTGTGTGGACTTTCTGGTGGCTCATGAGATGGGATTTCAGAGAAAAACACTTCCCACACTCCAAGCATTTGTAGGGTTTCTCTCCTGTGTGGACTTTCTGGTGCCTTTTGAGACTCGATTTGAGAGAAAAATGCTTCCCACACTCCAAACATTTGTAAGGTTTCTTTTCTGTGTGGACTCTCTGGTGCCTTGCAAAGGCAGAGGGATTAGTAAAATGTTTCCCACACTCTAAACATTTCTCTCCTGCATGGACTCTCTGGTGTTTTGCGAAGGTAGAAGGATCCGTGTAACATTTCTCACATTCCAAGCATTTATACAGTTTTGCTCCTGTGTGCATTCTCTGGTGCCTCCTCAGACTTGATTTCAGTGTGAAGCACTTCCCACATTCAAAGCATCTGTATGGTTTTTCCCCCGTGTGGATTCTCTGGTGAAATACAAGCGATGATTCCAGAGAAAAGTCCTTTCCACACTCCAAACATATATACGGTTTCTCTTCTGTATGGGTTCTCTGGTGGCTCATGAGGACCCAACTCCGAGTAAAACGCTTCCCACATTTCAAACATTTATACGGTTTCTCCCCTGTGTGGGTTCTCCAGTGGCTCATGAGTATCCATTTTCGAGCAAAGCACTTCCCACATTCCAGGCATGGATACGGTTTCTCCCCTGTGTGAATCCTCTGATGCCTCATAAGGTTGGAGTGCCGAACAAAACATTTCTGACATTTCGAGCATTTGTGTGGTTTCTTTTCTATGTGGACTCTCTGATGTTTTTCAAACGTTGATAGATCAGCAAAACACATCCCATGCTCTAAGCATATATATGGTTTCCCTCCTATGTGGACTCCTACTGGTTTGACAAGACTTGACTTTGGAGTAAAATTTCCCTTGCAGATGGTGTTTGAGTGCTGTTTCCTACCCTTCCCTGTGGACAGAAAGAACAAAGAAAAACAAGACTGCTAGTGTAGAAGGAATGTCAGAAAGCAGACTGAAGGGGGAAGTCAAGCCATTCAGACTGTGGAGATATTGAAACAAGAAACAGCCCAATATCGTGTCTTCCTCTCTCCTTTCTCCCCAATTAGCTCATGGCTGGGCTATCTTTATTTATATTGGTGGGTACAGCTGAGTTTTCAAGGAGGCCCTGGGCTGCTGTCCCTCTTGCTTCCCCTTGCCCACCCCCCACACAAAGGCAGTCACATGCAAGCCTAGGGAGGAATGGAACAGTGGGTTGAGCCTCCCCTCCCCTCCCCATGCTCTCCACCTGCTCCCACGGCCAACAGGTGGCCACGAACTTGAGAAGATATTCAGCCACCTCCTCCACCATGGTGGGTCTCAGGCCAGCAGGCCACTCCGCAGCTGGGTGGGCTGGAGGGAATGAGGGATAGGCAGGCAGGAGGGTGCATGGGAAGGGTTACTCCTGCACACCCTCCTCCCCAAGAACGGCGTGAACCACCCAGTGTGTGGCAGGCTTAGGAGTGCACAGTTTGCCTGGCGGCCACAGAAACAGCAGGGAGACGGACTTAGCAGTGCCGATGGCATGTGAAAACTGCAGGGCAGCTCTTCCATGTGCCTTCTGAAGGAAGCCTCTGCAGCATGGGAAGGAGCGTTGGCGCCGGAAAGGGATTCGGAGTGCCAGGGAATCGCCCCAATTGCCTCACCTGAGTTAATGTCACCATCCTCCATTTTGTCTGAGCCCAGGGAATCGGGCACCCACGGCAGTTCTTCTCGTTCCAGCTGAGAGATGAGCTCCGGCTTGGTGACTGGAAAGCCTTATCGAGAAAGAAGAAAACAGGGAACATAATCCCACATGCTTGTGGAACCTTGTGGAATTCCATGACAAGGTTTCGAGGTGGCTGGATGGAGGGGGTGCGGTGGATGTGGTTTACCTGGATTTCAGCAAGGCCTTTGACCAAGTGCCCCATGATATCCTGGGAGTTTTGGGATAGACCAATGCACTGTCCAATGGATTAGGGCATGATTGACTGACTGAGAGCAGATGGTAACCATTAGTGGGAAATCATCGGGATGGCGGCCAGTGACAAGTGGGGTCCCCCAGACCTCTGTCCTGGGGCCAATCCTGTTTAATCTTTTCATTAACGACATGGAAGAAGGGGTGAACAGTCTGCTGATCAAATTTGCAGACGATACTAAAACTGGAGCAGTGGCCACAACTGAGGAGCAGGTACTCCAGATCCAGAAGGATCTGGACAGACTATGGAAGTGGGCAGGAGAAAACAGGATGGTGTTCAGTGTGGGTAAGTGCAAGGTCTTGCACTTGGGGCACAGAATGGGCATCATAGGTACAGACTAAGGGAGGTGGCTGGAGAGCAGCACTTGTGAAAGGGATCATGGGGAAATGTAATGGCTCCATAATGGCCAGGTCTTTCCTCAGTCTAGCATGCCAGAAATCTCTGCTGTGCGAAGAAATGAAATCAGAATTTCATACAACTTGCCTTGATCTGTTGGGCCAGGCTGAGAAAAAGCCAACTGAAGCATTATGAATCAAAGTTAACATTTCAAAAATGCAAATGCAGGCAAGAGAACATCAAGATTCACTGTTCTTATGGAAGGAGGGTTCAAATGCCTTACCCAAGGAGGCCACATTCCAATAATTCTCCATCATGACATCCCTGTACAAGGCCCTTTGATCTGGATCCAGCAGAGTCCCTTGATCCTCCGTGAAATACACGGCCACATCTTCAAAGGTTACTGATATCTGCAAGAAGAGAAATACCCGCCTACAGACACCGCCAGTCTCAGTCTCCACAATTTTAGTAATCCTTTCAAAGTCAGACATGGAATACAAAGTTGTAGCCCTGAAAGGAACCCAGGGCAACAGAGACTAGATGGACTTTTTGCTCTGATCCTGGAAAGATTGTTTACTTTCAATCAGAGAAGAGACAGAAAGAAAAAGCATGGCAATTTTTCAGCACATCTACAATCCATCCCTTTGTATGAAATGACCATTACATAACAATGATTATTCCTTGGGAAGCCAGCGGAAACCCACTGCAAAACACAAAATCACACACACACATGAACACACAGGCATCCCCATCATTCATACCCCTTCCCACAAAAGCATACACAACCCAAGGGCATCCGCATGTGCACACACAAACCCTAGAGAAGACACAAGCACACACAAAGCTGGGAGTTGTAGTCCAAAACATCTGCATGACAGCAGTGGGCAGAGAGGGTGTACTGGAGCAGAGTTGGGCAGAAAATTGTTTTCTAGATATTTCAGACTTGAACTCCCAGCATTCTTGACCAGTGACCATGCTGGTAAACGCTTCTGGGAGTTGAAGTCCAGAACATCTGGTGCTCTTCCCTCTGCTCACCGCCCCCCCCCGCCCGGTGTAGAATCTTCATCACCTTTGTGTCACACATTTGAAAACAACAACAATCAATGACCACATAGAGCAACCTTTAATTTTGATTTGGCTTTTTTTTTCCGTCTCCACCATTTTTCGAAAACATAAATTAGTCCTTTTCCTCCTGTGTTCTTCCTCCTCGCTCCACCCCCCTTCCTAAATCCTTTTCCTTTACCCATCTAGATCTACTTGAAAAGGGGAGGGGGCTCAAACAGACAAAGGGAAGAGGCACCCGCTTTCTCCTCCAAGTTCTGGGAAACATTGTAATAAAAATCCTCGCCCCCCGACCCACGCAGGTACTTTCTCCTCTCCTTACCTGCATCGGTACGGCTGAGATGCAAAGACACCTCCAAAAATTTCTCGCTCTTGCAACTCAACACCCCCCCACACCCCCAGGCGCTTGCCACGCCCATTTTCCCGCTCAGCCAATGAATCCCCTCCTCGGAATCCCGATCGCTCCCAGCTGAGCCAATTCAACAGGAGAGTATTCAAGCCTCTGACAGGCGGGCAAAAGCCAGGCCCTGTTGGGAAATGTAGTCCTTCTGTTTCTATTCGGCGCTCAGCTGGGTCAATGAGCGTGTAGCACCCCTATATTTTTGGTTCTTGCAGAGGCCGGTGCTCTTTGGAGATGTGGCCGTGTATTCATGGAGGACTACTGAGCGCAGCTGGACCAGAAATCAAAGGCACTTTGTGTAGGGATTTGTCGTTCTTGTTATGTGCTGTCGTCTCTGACTTACGGCAACCCGAACAATGCAAGCCTTGCAAAGTGACCCGTCTTCACCAGCTCTTGCGAATTTAAGACTCTGGCTTCCTTTATGGGATCACTCCATCTCACAGCTGGTCTTTCCCTTCTCTTTCTGCCTTTGACATTCCCTAGCACGATTGTCTTCTCCAGGGAGTTTCACCTATTCATGATGTGCCCAAAGTATGGCAGCTTCAGTTGTCTCATTTTTGCTTCTAGGGAAAGTTCTGGCTTAATTCGATATGGGCCATGCTTGTTCATCTTTCTGTTAGTCCAGGGTATTCACAAAACTCTGCTCCAGCACCATGTTTCAATGCATCACTCTTCCTCCTGTCAGCTTTCTTCACTGTCCACCTTTACAGCCCCATATAGCAACTGAGAATACCATTGCAAGGATGAGCTTGGCCTTGGTCTCCAGTGAAACTTGATTATTTTTTCTAGTTCCTCCACTGCTGCCATTCCCAGTCTCAGTGGTTTCTTGGCCACAGCCTCCCTTTGATTTGATGACTGAGCTAAGGTATGCAAAATCTTTCACATTTTCAATTTCTTCATTGTTGACAGTTAAAGTTCTGTAATTTCTTCTGTACTCATGTCTTTTTTCTTAATGTTCAGCCAACATCCTGCTTTTGCACTGATGAAAATGAAAGAAGAAATCCATTGCTGCTTTCCACCAGTAGGATGGTATCATCTGCATATCTGAAATTATTGATGTGTCTTCCACCAGTTTCCACTCCTTCCTCTAATCCTAATCCAGCTTTCTTTGTATGTTCTGTGCAAACACTGAACAGATAGGGAGATAAAATACAGTCTTGTCTGAGGCCTTTGCCTATAGGAAACCATTCCGCTTCTCCATATTCTGTTCTAACAGTAGCTTCTTGTCCACAAAAGTGGTTATTCATTAGCACAATCAAGTGGTGAGATACACCAGTTTCCTTCAAGACCACCCATAGTTTCTTGTGATCCACACACTCAAAAGTTTTGCTGTAGTCTATAAAGCATAGGCTAATTTTCTTCTGAATTTCTTTGGTTCACTCCGGCAGCCAAGATGTATTCGAGATACAATCTCAAGTGCTTCTTCCTTTTCAGAATCCATCTTGAACGGAAGGGGGCAAGTGCTGTTTTTTTGCTTTGCTCAGGCTTTTAAATATTTCTTTGGTCACTCAGAGGCTTGAAGTGTTTTTGTCTTTTTATGGCATCATTTTTACTGTATGTTTTAAATGTTTGTTTTTATGATATTTTTATTGTATATTGTCTTGTTTTTACGGATGCTTGTAAACTGCCCTGGGAGCTTTGGCAAAGATTGATAGACAGATAGACAGACAGATAGACAGATTAAAGATAATGTTATTTTTGTAAGGATGCCTGTGTACTCAGAGGTTTAAGATGACCTATTATTGATTCAGTTCCACTCCTCACTCAGTCAAGCTTTTCCAAAGCAACTAACAATAAACTTCATTGCCATATCAAAACTCAGTTATATTCGCACATTATATTGCAGGGGAGGCCTGAGCTGTGTGCTAGCAGGGTTTTTGTTGGTTTGCTTGCTTGCTTTATTTCACCTGTGGATCTCTTGTTAAGAATGGTTTTCTTCTTTGAGATGTGAAATAATATCTCATTTTCAATTCAAATTCATGAATAAATTAAGACATTTGTTCCAAGGTAAGAAATTAACACTGGAGAAACCTGGCCAGATTTCAGAATTATCTGATCTCTTGTTAGTGTGGACGTCAGTTAATTGTGCCACTTTTCTGCACAACTGTATTAAGGCTACAGTTTCGCATTTTACTGGTGTCAGGGGTGATCCGATGTATGTTTAGAAAGCAAACAAGTCTGACGACTCCCAGCTTTCCCCGGCTGCTGTATACAAACATATATAAACATGCATATGGTGACATCATAGGGTCTCTCAGAAATGCAGAGCTCTCACCTTCCATAGCTATGGCTAGGATGTTCACATTCCTGTTTAAATAATCCATCTCCGTAATAGCCTGCTTTCCAACACAAGCTTGTTGTGAAGTTGTTTCTCGTGCAGCACCTGCTAGAAAAGACAAATGGCCATTGCCAGGCTTAGAACCGCAGAAACTGAACAGGGAGTGATCCTTTGATCCAAGACAATGTCTAGGAGGGCATGGGATACTTTGGATTCCCAAATCTGGGGTTGGAGACAGTGCTGTGATGTCAGTTGGGGATCCTCCCTCTGAACCCACTTCCCTCAGCAATGGGGCTTTAACCACCTCCTGTGGAAGCTCATTTCATACCCTGGGGGTCCTAACCATCAGGATCTACTTCACATTGTGTACTCACCCTTGTGTGTTTGTAGACAAATGGCAGTACAGGTAGGGGAGCGCACTGTAAGCTACTAAACACAACATAAAATGAAAGAGGCTTGGTAAAGCTGTCAAAACACTTTGTGTAGAGAAGCCCCACAACTCTGGCTAGCATGGCCAGGATGGGAGGTGGGCAGGAAGAAGCTGAGAAATACATTTTTGATGTCCTTCTTTCTTTGCTTTTTCTGTTTCAGAGTACAGCTCCCACCACCTACTTGGACCATGGAGAAGATTCCTTGTTCTTTTGGTTTTAGAGTCCTCTTTCTTATATTTTCCTACAATTTCTCTTCCTTCCTTCCTTCCTTCCTTCCTTCCTTTCTTGTATTTGCTCATTCCTAATTTTGTTTTTTAAAGCTTACATTTAATCAACTCTATTCAGGTTTAATTTCTTTCTCTGTGATATTATATTCTGATCTTCTAGAAGTAGGTTTACTTGTTTTTAAGGGACCGTTTTTGAACTTTTCCAACTTTTAGGGAATATTGTCAAGTTTTCTCAATTTTCTCAGAAGACTACGAAAGAATCCCCTCCAGCTTTTAGTCAATGATGCGTTGAACTGGTAGCTAGCACTTCTTTTGAAGAATGGTAAAATGCTTTTAAAATAGTGAAAATGCTTCTAAACTACAGGACAAGAAGAGATATTGGGAGAAGGTAATGTATCACCTGGCAATGTATATAAAATTGCTTCATCAGTAGCTATCTCATGTATTTTTGTTCACTTTCCTGTTCTTCATATTCTCACATCACTGCCATAGAGAAGGTTCCTTGTGGTCCTTCCACACTGTAGAAATCGGGGGTGTAAAAGTCGCTTGCTTTTGAAACAACTGTGCAATGAAGTCTCCGTTAAAAGCGGGGCGGGGAAGGCAGAGACCTACGCGAATGGGGGCCTCTTTAATGGGAAAGGCCTACAATTCCCAGCAGCCGCGGGACGCGCCACCCGGCTGCTTCTGAAATAAACCATGTTTGGATTGGCTGAAACAGAGAGGTTGGTGTTGTCAAGAAGAAGCGTGATTGGTTGAACTCCAAACATGGGCGAGGCGGGGGTGCGAGTGTAGGTCGCGCCAGGACGGCAGCGAAGGAGCGAGCGAGTTGCGGGAGGAAGAAACTCTTCGCGGGAGCCTCGAGTCGCCCCTTTCGCACGTGCAGGTCAGGAAGGGAGGAGGGTTTGGGAAAGCGCTTGGGAATACGGAGTGTCGCTTCCTTTTGTATGTATGATCGCCCACATGCACGCAGACACCCTTTATACGGATCGATACGTATTGAAAGGGGAAAGGGAAGTGGCTGCTCTTTGGATCCCCCGTCCCCGTCTTTGGGAGGAGGTTGTGGGGCGGAGGGAAAGGGCAGAAAAGCGAAAGCAAGCGGGAGAAGTAGCTTACAGCCTCTGAAAATAGTGGAGGCACAAAAATGCCAAGATAAACAAACGTACATTTTACGGAGAAGCCTATTTTTAAAAAATAAAACCCAATAAAAGTAGCTGTTCCATGGCTCTTGTTGCTTAATTTGCAACACAATTCTATGAATTAGTCAGACAAAAGTCGTCGAACTCTGAACATCCCCCACCGAGGACACTTTGCAATTACTGTAGGCCAGTTGGAGAAATGTTGGTGACTTGCAGATTTCTTGGGCTGCAGCTCACATAATCCCTGACCATTGACTGTGCTGGTTGGGGATGATGGGGATTGTCCAAAATGTGTGGAAGGCAACAAATCTCCTACCGCTGCCATAGGCCAACACATTGTGCAATCTAAGACTTGGATCTAGCCATGCAGCAAAATTAGGAACTTGAATGGATAGTCCCACTTGAAGGTGTGGACGATGGTTTTTCTCTACCACCAGAAAACAACACAACCCTTTGCTTGCTCTGCTAGCATTTTACTTTCAGGAAGCAATTTTTAACCTGGGGAAGCGTTCACAGGGGGTAGTGCTCACTTGCAGAAGATACAGGGCCCTGCAGAAGTATTCCCCCACTTACATCTTTTCCACATTTTGTTGTGTCACAACCTGGAACTGACATGTATTTAATTTACTTTGTTACCATAAGACAATGAGCTCTGTTAACTTGTGCCAAACAGCATTTTATAGTGAGGCCAAGTGGTTAAGTCTCATCAGATCAGACAACCTTTTTCTACATGTTGAGATCCGGCTCGACAATTGGTGTGAGAGAGTTCAGAGAGAGAAATAAAACACTGCAGACAAAGAGATAAAGTTTCAAAGCATGCTTGGTTGGTTGTTCGGGAGAACAAAGAAGATCTTCGCAGAAAATTCTTCTGCGTCAATACAAGCAGCCCTTTTTATTATTTCACAGATTGATACATTTATAC